AAAAAAAAGGATTTTAAAAACCTGCCTGAAATCAGCCGCGGCGATTTTTGAAGGAGCCGAATGGAAGGAACCAGTCTGGGTACTCAATTGTGCTGTTAATATTATACTGTCAAATGGAGAGGACAGCACTTGACAATGAAGAACAATGAGTATTTCCAAGCCTTTCATGTCCACCAGCCACAGGCATATTGAGTAGAACACTTTTACCGATATGCTATTTTAGTGTTTTATTGACCAAGACAGGGGGATGAGGTGAAGAGAGGGAAGAATAGGAAGAGGAGGAAGACAATCATTTTGGACACAGAGCACCTCCCACCTCCCACACCCCCCGAATACCTAAACTGCATTGTAACTCACTGATATCGTGACTCTAACCTCTCTTTTGCCCTAATGATTGTGGCAGTAGCCCAAACATTAGTGAGACACGTTTGTGACTGGAGGGAAACTACGCTAGTTTCAATCTCTGGATCGCCTGGGAAATCCAGGGAGCAGTGGTCCCAACGGTTCCTTTAAAGCTGCAATGTGAGATTTTTTTTATTTCATTATTTTTTTTTTTTAGCAATGGAATGGCACCAGATGGTCGAGATATATTACACAGTTTCATTCTAAATGTGAAAACTGACAACACCTCCATTGTTTGGAAGTCATTCGTCTTCCAAAACAACCCATGACTCTTTTTCTCATCTGCGGTCTCTATGTCTTAAGGACTGATTAAGTTAAGGCATTTAAAAACACTTGGTTGGTGACAGATTGTGGTTAAAAGAAACCAGTGCTGACTCTTGGTATATGATGGTGTCTGTGGACGCTCGCACACTCGGCCTTGCGGCATTAAGACAATGTCAGGCAGCTTCCATCTTTGCTTCTGATAGAATGATTATGTAAAACTGTTTATGTTTGAGCTTCACCAATTAGTTGATTAATAGATTAATTAAGAAGTAATAGATTGACAGAAGATGATGATTTTTTATTTTTTTATAGCTTCACGAATGTGAGGCAGCAAACCTTTGTCTGTTTTATACAGTATGATAGGGTTAGGATTAACTGAAGATGTTTGGGACTCTTGGTTGTTACTGTTTGGTTACTCTTATTCTTTCTTTCTTTCTTTCTGAACTATGATAATTTGGACAAAGCAATTAACTGAGAACTAACTGGCAAATTTAAGGTCTCTTATAGTATAAAGGTAGATGTCCATGTCTTCTTTGATTATAAAGCAGGTCTAGGTTCTATATTAATACTGTGAAAGTATCAAAGCGCTCAGTCCACAGAGAAATGCACACAGCCTGTATTCAGAAACTGAGCCTTAAAACCAGCCGTCAGGACTTCGGTAACTTGTCACAACAAAACAGTCACAGCTCTCAGCCATTAGGACCCCAAGCCCCACCCACCTGGACCCGAGATTCCAACCTTGCAGGCTCAGAGCCTACTCTCTTCTGATTGGCTCTCCAACCTGTTGTTACTAGAGCTCCAGAGAAAAGCCTGAGAGAGGAGATGTAAAACTACACTGAGATGGTTTTTGGTTCTTAAAACCACAAATATATCTTCTTATGGATCAACACTTCAAATAAAACACAGGAGAAGCGTAAAATATGGGACATTTTTAATGTATAATGAAAATAATTGTTAGTTGCATTCATAATTCATATTGCACTTTTCTCAACAAGGGTTACAAAGTGCTTCAGTGTTACAAAAAACGTGTTTGAATACATATTTTAGTGCAGCTGTATGGGGCCATGGGCACACTGATGTACAGTGGAGCCAAATGTGTTTCTAGATAATTAGAAGGATTTTAATTCCAATCTAAATTTGAAGTCAGTAGAACAAAGCTAGCACTGGGGTGATATGGATAGTTAGATACCATATGGTAATAAGACGCTGTATAGTTTTAGTTATTGTGCAACATAATTCAGAACTAATTGTAGAAATGCTACCACGTCCTTGTTTAAAAATGCAAATACTACCCAAATCAAGACTCTAGGATCTGAGACAATGGTTGATTTGGTTGAGCTGTTGGAAAAGTAAGATGGGGCCTTACTTGGGAATGTTTCTCAACTGAAAATAATGATGTCTGACTTATATTTCTCAGCTGGGATTCAAATATGATCCGAGGTTCCTGAAATCATTCATATTCACATAACCTCAAGAGGTCGGTTGTCAGGAAAATGTAAACATCCTGTCATTTTTCTCATTGCGGGCATCTTCTCAGAGAGTTAAATATCTTGCAGCATATATTGTGGATGAGCTTGGCCAGTCATGAGCCAATTGTAGCTGTCAAGATGAGGCTAGCAGTCACACAGCAGGGGGGTCTCAAAAGCAATGACAGCAATGAAGGACAAGCAAAGCAAACTAAAGACGAAGCATCAAGCTAAAAACATAGTTTACGCTTGCTGGTGATCACAGCCTTTGGCTGGGTGCTGTTTCAAGGTAGACTGCTCATCAAGATGAATGATGCATGTTGACTTGGAAACTTGGCCAAATTAGGGTGCAGGGGCGGTGGTGGTGGTTATTTGTGTCTTTGAGGGTCTTTACACCTGCTTTAACAGGCTCATATGCTACTGAGAATATCCTGGGGTGAATATCCATGAGTGTGAGCAAGCTTGTGCCTTCAATGATTGGTCAGTAAACTCATAAAACACAAGAAAATTAAAATCAAGCAGCAAAATCTCCAGATAGTAACAGTCCCTGTGGTGGTGACTTGTTGTGCGGAGCTTCAGATGTGAAAATCTGTGGCGCACACGGCAGCAGCTCTGTGATTAATACCACTGACAAAGCAGTAACTAATGATCGATTGAGGATGCTTGGGTTCTAAAGACCATTTCCCCTTCACTTACTTTGCCTTTTTCAAAGCCATCTGATATTTTGATCACTGGCGGGGGCCATGTCAGTGGAATTAATCACTAATTTAAAGCTGGAACCTTCTCATTTGCACAAAACTCTGCTCACAGATGAGATTTTGAACGATTTGATAGTTTCAGATTCTCCTGGTGTCAGTGAAGCTTTCATCCTACCTTTTAAAGAGAGCGCCATGGATAGCAGTGATGCCGACACATCTTTATAACAATATATATTCTTGTATTAAGCATGAATTAGTGCTTTGAAGTTTGACACTTTTGCTGCGTCGTGTTAGGCGGTCCATATGTGTCAGACAGAGCGGGAGCAAGATTAGACTGCTTCTAAAAAAATAATTACACCATGCCAACGGCTTCAGTTACTGTCATGTGCTTTTTGGCTGTTTATTTACTTTAACGTAAAGTGATTTTAAATGAAGCCCCCCCCCCCCTCCGAGCAGTCCTATTTATACGTTTAACTCTATCCACACGTACCCAGCGCGCCCAGAGTGTCCGTCAATGAAATCTTCATTCATATCGAGCAAGAGAAACACAGCTCAACATTTACAGGCTGATGTATTATGCAGCAGAAGCTTTTAAAAAAGATGATTGGAGAATTCCCATCTGAAACGCAGCTGCAACATCAAAGCATGAGTGGGAGGAAAATTAAATGGTACAGAAATAAATAATGGTGGACTTGATGTCTTTGCTAATTGGGATCTCTGGCGCTCGGGTCAAAAGGCCTCCACCGGGGCGAAACCTAAGAGGAACCGCTGTGTTGTGCTAAGGTTGTAAGGTGCAACAACACGCCACACTCGGAGGCAAACTCTTTCACTCTTCAACCAAGACTTGTTATCAGTGAGTGTGCACGCCGTGTGCACACTCACTGATCAAGCTCTGTGGTTGAGCTGGTGGGAGCGTGACGTCATCGCCAGAGCAGAGAAAACGCTGAGTGTGTGTTTAACGCTCAAATGAGTTTCGTGAAGAGATTCTCACAGCTGAGGGAAAAGTCGTGTGTGTGTGTGCGTGTGTGTGCGTGTGTGTGCACTGACCATCCTCTCTTGATGCACTCATAAAGGCTGCCTCCCCCCCCCCCACCCCCACCCCCACACCCTCTCCTCTCTCCTCCCCCCAAGGCCTGTCTGGCTGCTGCCAAGTAGCCTCACAAACACTAGAGGGCTCTCTCCATGGACAGCAGCATGGGCACCCCCTCTGCTGTCACTCACACACTCTACTGCACTCACACACAAACACTCACATTCGGCCATGCAATGATGAGCATGACCTTTCCGCTGACTGTCTTAATAAGACCTGTGTAACACTCTCCCTGCTCCTTGTATTTTAATAGACTGGGCTTTAGTATTTTATTTTTTCATGCACAGAATTTCCTCCCGTGTAAATCCATGTGTCAAGAATACAAATCAACTACAGCACAGAACAGTCAGCGGAGGGGAGAGGAAACGGAGTACAAGCCTCAATGGATAGAATAGTTCTTTACTTTCCATTGTGCCAGCCACAGGGCCACAGTGTGCGTGTCCATCTGTTCATTGCTTAACCCTATCAAATGACAGTATAAATGAGCAGCCTCGGCTTCGTTTCACTGATCGCCGGGCCTCTTTCATTTCACTAATAACCGAGAGAAGTGAGGGCGAACTCACGCGTCGTTTCCTCAACAAAGAGAAGAGTTAGAACGCGGAGGAAAACACACACACACACACACACACACACACACACACACACACACACACACACACACACACACACACACACTCACGATCGGAAGACTTCACCTGCACAACAGCCTATGTGATATCTTACAGCTATACGGCAATGTGAGACGATAACCTTTGCGGCGCGTCCGTGCCCGTGCGGAGCGGCGCGCGTTCATTTGTGCGCCTGTTGACCCGGCTCCTCATCAACCCAATGAGCGCCGCGGAGGGGAGGCTCTCTTCGCCACCGCGCATCTCTCCTCCATCTCCTCCTCACTTTTCCAGTCGGCCAGCAAGCCTGTCGGAGCTCTTAACTAACAACCCCCAACACTGTCACTCCGCCTTGACAAACTGCAGGAAGGATTTCTAGCCTCTCGCTTCTCCGCATTTCTTTTTGCTCATTTTCCCGCCGCCTCGAACGAAACGTGTTGGACTTTTTTTTTTTTTTTGCGTATTTTGAAGGAAAAAAAAATATAAACGATGAAATGATGCAGCAGCGGAAAGGGATGCAAGTCTCACTAGTAAGTACAGCCCGCCACCATTATATAGCTATAAACCTAACAGGTATTACTGTTGTGCAGTGGTGTCTTGTGGAGGGGTTTAATAGGACTTCCCTTTAATCCATCACGGGGCTAAAGTAAAATTTTTTTTCCCGGCACAATTGCATGAGCGAGATGACACGGAGAGAAACAGCAAGTCCACGGAGAGGTCTGCAACTTAGGCTACCTTCTTTATTCACATTTCACTTGCCTCTGTCACGCACACATACTGCCGACATATGGTTTATTCTCTGTACATTGGACTGCTCACGCGCTCCGGGTCCACATTTGACGCACCGAGGTGGACTGATGGAAAACATTAGTCTCCTCAAAGGGTAAAAAACTTCAGAAAAGACGGAGAGAGAGGGTGAATACAGGTAATCGGGGTATGTGCTGCAGACTATTGCAGAGGTGTAAAAGGCAAGTAGCATGCCTCAAACTTCATGGTTTTCATTCGCGGTTTTATTTGTCTCATCGGGTGACTGTAGAAACTGAGACACGAATTTCTCCCCCGTCTGTGGACTCCTACCTTGGACAGCTCCTCGGCTGCCGGCGCCCGGTTCTCCGCAGAGCCGTCTGGACCGGCTGCTTTCTGGCGGGGAGCTGTCCTACCCCCGTGGTGCTGAAACCGCTTGCTTAGTCACGCACCCCAGTGACTTGATAATACACTAAAAAAGAGGGGGGAAAATCACAAATTCATGTCAGTTATTAATAGGAAAATTCTATATGGGCTGTAATTTTGTATTTTCTCAGGTTTATATTCTCCTCTCAAATATTTTGTTATTAACCTGGTCCTTTTAGGTCGGTGCCTGTACTTGGAGAATGTCACAGTAACTCGCATCTCTCCACACTTTATGGTGTTGCAGTTGCCTTCAGGTGGAATACATTACATCTTATTGTCCTTGGAATTGCACTGCTGGAACCATGAATTACTCCACACACCGGCATATGACCACAGTGACATTCTGCGTGTAGTAAAAGTTATCAGAACTAACACTGACACTGTGCTGAAAGCAAGCCAGTCTGTGCTGTGATAGCATGTCCACCTGCATCAGTTTGAGCTGAGGACAACTCAAAGCCAACCCTTTGTGTCTGTGCTTTATTTTATTTATTTATTTGTTTATTTATTGCCTCTGGTTTTGCATTCTGGTGAACAACGCAACATCAGTGTGTTGTACAACTGAAGGGACCGAGCTGAGTGAGATGGATGTTAAGGCTTAAACTGATTGTGATTAAAGGGCAAAATTTACATTCGGTTGCATCCTTTCGATCTTATGTCACAGGAGTGTCACTGTGTTGTATTTAATTTGCTTATTTCAATTTGATTAAAAAAAAAAAACCCAAAACATTTGTGCCCACACTTATCAGAAAACAGTGGCTCCAATGTAGTATTACACATCTGATCCAATGTTCCAAACCTGCCTCTAAATGCCTTCACAATGATCTCATCAGGAGCACTATGATATCAGTGAGCTGCAGCGCTGTTGACTTTGTGGAGCTCACCTGCAACCAGCCTCTCTATTTAGTATTGACACTATTGCACGCATGCATGCACACATGCACCGGATATCTAAGGAATTTGATTGCAGCATAAAAGGATATTTCACCCCAAAATGTATTGTCAAAACATTAATCATAAGGAAACATGTAATTTGCTCACAATCTTTCCAGGATAATCCCCAGAACAACAGCTTAAAGCAACGCAATCTGATGTGGTGGGCTCAGTAACCTCACAATACAGACATACCCGTTTTGTTGTGCAATTGTAGCAGGATAATACAAAAACAAGATTGGCATAAAGGGTCATAGCTGCCACAGACAGATCATTAGTGATGATGAAGTGACATCTTGATTTCTTTCTTTTTTCTTTTTTTTTTAAATCCTTTTTTTATCTTTTCGCTTGCCTGAGAAGCACATTTTCCCTCCCTCTATCGTTCTGGCTGTCTTGTCTGATTTGTTCAAATGTTTATTTGACTCTACTTTCTTATTCCTACCTCCCCCTTTCCTCCCCAACCTCCCTGACAACTCCTCACAAGACTAAAAGACATCTAACAAACTGTGATTGCTCCCTTATAGGTCTTCCCCTCGGAATAACACCAAATGGATGCTGTGCTGAGCGCCTCAGCCCCTCGCCAACTGCTATGGAGGCATACCATGCAAGTGACCTTTATCACACCATGAATGCAAGCTCTGCCGTTGAAAGAGGACACAAGTAACCTTTTCTTGTTATCTGAGGAGCTGTTGATCTAAAGAAAGTAGGGGGAGACGAGCTGCGGCGAGAGAAGAGTCTCGTAAAAAACAAACAAACAAACAAAACTACACACACAAGGACAGGATGCCAAAGCGGTCCGAGGAGATGCTCATGGATCTGTGGATGTCCTTGCTGCTGGTGTGGATTACTTGTGTTCCCTGCGTGTCTATGTCTCCTATCATAGGCCAGTCCAAAAGTACACAAACTGGTGGGTCCGCAGCAGTGGCGAGCGGTCTTGGCGAAGGACAAAGATTACTGAGCCGCGCCAAGAGAGGATGGGTTTGGAATCAAATGTTTGTGCTGGAGGAATTTTCTGGACCCGATCCAATTCTAGTTGGCAGGGTGAGTGTGCTGTGATTGTCAGCATTATATTAAGCTCGCTTATCGTGTGGAAACATTAATTCGGCCATTTGAATGCTCCCTCCATTTTTTTTTCATCCCATGGGCAGTGGGAGGGTTTTGGTTGTCAAGGGGAAGCAGAGATAGGGGGACAAGAGAGAAGGCGGTGGGCGGGGGGGGGAGTGTGTGTGTGAGTGTGTGTGTGGTGGAGGGGGGGTGTCTCAGAATGCTTTTGGAAATAATTAAACTCCCATCAAATAATAGTGGCAACATTTTTTTTTTTGCTGTTTTGGATGTCCTTGAAAACCAAGACACTGTAGCAGTCACAAATATTGTTTTGTTAGTTTTTACCAGTTACTCTCTTCACACTAAATACAGATGCATGCCCCCCCCCCCCCTTTTTTTTTTTTTTTTTTTTTTTTATCTCCTGTTGTGGCGCACATCCATTTTTTTTTCCCCGCAATGGCATGATTTACAAATTGTGCATAGCCTGGATAAGAGCGGGCTATTTTAGTTAAGGGTAGTTTCGCGGCTCTGTATTGAACAGAACTGTGGGTTAATCCCGCGGCTAAGGGCCACCTGCTCCCTGGCCAGTGTGGAAGTGTCAGGCAGGTTTCAGCGGAGGGGAAGGTTGCTGGCCAGCCTGGCCAAAGCAGCTTGTTCACAGCTCATTGCTGGGAACTCACCTGGGGAGAGTCAGCCTGGCAGTCACGTTCACCTCCTCCTCCCTCCCCCAGAATATCACCCAGCCACTCTGGCATGGGCTGGAGTGCAGGCCATCAAGCATAATATTTGATCTTGTTCAGTAATAGCTTTTGCAAACAGTGTTTTGGTGCCTAATATTTGATAATTGGTGGGTATGCCTTTCTTGTTCATTGTGGCCATTGTGATACATATTTTGTCAACCCCTCACACATGGCACCCGACAACACAAAAGCAAAAAAAAAAAAAAAAGATACATTTTTGTGGCATAAGAAAATAAGTCACTTTTGATCCAAGTAAATATTTATAATTTCACTTCCTCTTCGTCCTCTTGTTTTTTTTTTTTTTTCTCTCTCCCTATCTCTTTCTCTCTCTATCTCCAGCATTGTCATATGGCTGCATCAATTAAACATTTGCCACCATGCGGGATTTGCACCTGTGTTTTCTAAATACCATACGAACACAAAAATGCTGTTAAGTGATGCATTAATTTTTCAGGCGAGTCAATTAGGCAGCCTCTGCTGGATTCGACAATGACTGCTCATCAGAATGCTGGAACAAACAAACACTCGCCGGGGCCACAGTGACCATCCGTCGCGAGCTTGGAATCTGAAGGTTGGATTGCAGCTGTGAGACACTGAGCATCAAAGATTTGACAGAACAGCCGGCAAACTGTTGTATATTTATAGGTATTTCACCTGAAAACGTTTCCTTAAAAAAAAAAAAGGCCAAAGTTGCACAGACATAAGGTAACAGAAGATGCTGATAACAAGAGTTTCGGTTCATAATTCCAAAAGCTCACACTCGCTGCGCTGTGTGCCTCTGGCCTGAGTGTGAAATGTTCTGCAGATTCTTGTTCTGCAACAGAGGATTTGGTGGCGGAGAAACAGGCTGTTCCCCAGTCATGAAGGATGCTTTCCCTTCAAGGTCTCGGCTAATGTTTTGCAACAAACTTGACTCTAGGATAGGTTACTCATAGGTATAAGCATTTTTTTCTGTTGAAGGACAGTGCAGGGATTGGGCATGAGATAGGAGGGAGGTGGGGGGGGGGGCAGCTCTGGGGCGAAGAAGAAGAAGAAGAACGTGGCTTGCCTTTTTGCGAGGCGATGATGATGGGTTGCGTTCACTGCAAGGTTAAGTGCTCATGAGTATGCCTGGCAGAGCTAAGATAAGTCCTATGTTAAACCGAGATGGCACTGTATTGGTTTAAGAGTATAAATCTCTCTCCCCCCTCTCTCAGTACCTCTGTCTCCTTTTTCTTCCCCTTTCTCTGTGTTTCTCACACTTAATTAAAGAATGAATCAAATGGGTGGGAGGTGTGATTCAAATGGGTCATACAGCTCTGCGTGTATTTTGCACAATTTCCTCGGCTGTGTGTGTGTGAGGCTGCCGGTGTCTGTGGTTGTGGGCTGATTGTCAAGGAAGTCCAGGCAAAGATTGGACTCTTTCCATCCCATAGTGTGCGTGACTGTTTTTTTTTTTTTTTTTTTTTTTCTATTGCTGGTGCACTCTGAGGCTTAATTATACACGCATCCCCAATCTTTGTCAGCGGCCGGGCTCCCCTCAACTACCCCAACGTTCGGACTGAGAGTGAGTGTTTGTAAGAGGGACGGGGAGAGATTGTGCCATCGATTTTTTACGGCATGTCATTCTCTGTGTTCTCCCTCAACAGACACTATTAGCATAAACACGAGGGGAATGGGGGGGTGGTGGGGGGGGGTGGAAGAGGTGTGGAAGAGTGAGAAGGACGGCCACGAGGTGTGACAGCATCCTTCCCTTTTTTTTTTTTGCTGTTCTTCTTCAGCGCGTCGTTTCGTGACATTGTGATTCACTGTGCGGCGTGTTCGTCAGCCCCCATCAGTCTCATTGGCGTCGGAGAGGCAGACATGCAGTACCTGTTAAAGTGAAGCAGGGGAGACAGCTGTGAAAGCTTGTTGCTCGGCTGTAGCTTAAAACGAACACGGTGTTGGAAGGGATTTCAGGATTACTCATCATGAGCCGGGGACAGTTCAGAAATAACCCGTCATTAAGAATAGAAATAGGCAAATGGGGTGTGAAGGTAGATAGGCTTGAACATATCGCTATCATGGACTGATCCAGGGGACGCACGTTTGCTCGTTGTTGACGGCGAGTGGGAGATACCACTTGAGTGAGTAAAGACTCTCATGCGGACCACTGGAAGGCAAGGAGAGGGTAATTTTAGGCAAAGCAGCTCTTGATTTACCATTGCACAACTATAATGGAAAAGTGCAGCCTGGGTTTTAAAACTAAATGTTCTGTAGTACACAAGGTGGATGTAATCTTCACTCTGGCACGAGGCCTACCCAAACAGTCAGCCATGTTTTCCCCAAAAGTTTGCCCCTTCAATTAAAGCTATTTCAATTATTCACACACACACACAAAAAAAAACACAGCAACTCATTTACATCAGGCCATTAAAGGCAAAACAACAAAAGACAAACAGCTAACAAATTACTGTGTTTGCACCAAAGCAAAGGCAGAATGTGTTTTCTTTGTAGCGCAAGGCAGATTGATGGCGGTTAGCGCCGGGAATATCTCACCGCTTCGGATGTAACTTTTCCAGACTCCTTTACTTTCCTCCTGATCATTTAGCATGTGGTGTGTGTGTGTGTGTGTGTGTGTGTGTGTGTGTGTGAGGATTAATAACGATGGATTCACGTCTGTGGAATTGTAGTGCAGATGAGGTAAATTGACTGATCCCTCATCCCATTGTCCAACACTTTTATCTGCCACAGCATTGTATGTGTTTTTCCACAAAGAGAATTGATAATCAACCATTAATATTCATCAATTCAGGCTGAGCTGCAAGATTGCAAGGACTGACAGCGATACAGAAAGAAAAAAGGCTTTGATTATCGATTCAGCAAAGACAACGGATATGTCCTTAGGAAAAAAAAATATATATCTTTGTCTTTCTTCATGTATATTCTGGGGGAAGGAAGCACAAGCTTCATTCTTCCAAACAAGCTGTTTGACAGGATCCCCAACAAGAAGGGCCACAGTGGTATCAGATCGGTGGTGAAATATAAGTCTGCAGGGGGCTTTTCTACAAGCAGAAGTGATTTTCAGTAACCTAAGTGATGTCCCACCCTCCCCAAAAGAGTTGAAGACCTTTTTCTAGTACTGACTTGTTTGAATTGGTTCAATCCTTCATTCTTGTTTTCCCCTATACAGGTACATTCAGGTGCAGCTGATAAGAGGTCACAGCTTAGATTCGGAAAAAGCAGTTGCCCCTAGTACGTATGTATTCATTTACTGAATGGTGTACAATAATGGTGATAAAGTGAAATTATTATGGCTCGCTAGGTTATACGTTAAAGTCAAAGTTTTTCTTTTTTTTTTATGTGCGTGTTTACCACCATGATGTGGGCCTGAGTATACCATCTTTATCTGGGATAGTTTTCCGAATTCAATCCAGACCTTTTTGTTGCTTTTGTTGCTTTCTGCACTTTGGGCTGCTAGTACAAGATGTGGGACATCAGTCTATAAATACTGATGCGAGCCTCTTCTGCTCGACTGGATTGCCTTTCTCTGTCTCTGCCCCCCCCCCCCCCCCACCCCACCCCCCACCCCTCCACCTCTCTCTCCCTCTCTCTCTCTCCCTCTCTCTCTGTGATGGGGTGATTATGGAGAGAGTGACTCTTGAGCCCAAGTAAGCTTGCCTCCAGGGCTGATGGGGTGTGGTACAATGACATTGTTAAAATTTCTCCAAGTGTTTAGCTTTGGCGATGCAAGGCAGCGAGGCAAAGCTAAGGCGAGATTGAGTCCTGAATGCAGCCGCCGGAGCAGCCTGAGACTCCCTGGTCCTGCGGGGGGGGGCTACTGTTGCTGGTTTACAATAGCTCAAAGGTTGAGCCCCCCCTTCTTGACTGAGTTGTGCCAACGTAGCCTCTGATTAGCGAGGATCCCCCAACTTAATCTGCATATACTCGGGGCTCCAGCAATTGAGCGGATATAAGACTCAGCCTTTGACTGATGGATGAGGAGTGGGAGTTAATGAGAATATTAGCCGAATTATTGCCAGTGATTGATAGCCATTATGACACAAAAATTATAAGCATTGGCTCAGATATAATAAATTCTCCAATATAGCCCAAATTAGGCACAGGTTCCAGAGCTGTAGTGAGAGGGTTGAATCAAAAAGCTGTCATTAAATTCAGGCAAGGAAAGCCCATCAATGTTTGCTGGACTTAATTTCATTCCATTTGGTTTCTCACACCCACAGCAGCTCCTGGAATGCAGCGCTGTGATCTCTCTTCAGGCAGCACCACAAAGATCCA